AGACTGGTAGAGAATAGGTACTACGGTTAAAGTTTGACAAGAATCAATACATTTTTATGCATTTAACCTACTGATTTATGTATATAATTTCTCAAGAGCTTGAAGTGAGTTAACTTGTCAACAGTTTACAGAAGGAAAAATATCGAGATATATATCGTATATCGGAATTCAGCTTAAAGATATCGAGATATAAGTTTTGGTCCATATCGCCCAGCCCTACGTGAGCCTGAGTGTGTGTGTGTATTTGTTAGCGGCTCCGCCCTCTCGGTCTGCCAGGCAACAGCATGCAGAGGCGGTTTTACCATTAGGCATAGGTAGGCGGTCGCCTGGGGCCCCAATGTGTTGGGGGGCCCCCTAGCCCTGGCCGCCGGCACCCCTCTGTTAATGCCACAATATTATTACCAACCTGTGGCCGCAGACGGGATTGGACATGCGCACTTCTCATTACCATAATTCCTGAACCGTTCAAGATATCATTAAAATTCCAAAAGTGCTGAAAAGATTAAAAATGGGGCTTTTCGTGCATATACTGTACAATACATTACGGTAGCCACTGGGATTCCCTGTCTTGAGCGCAACGAATCACAACACAGATTCAGAGACGTGCTGAGTTAGTCATCCAAAATGCTCCGTTTTATAACTTTTGAATGGCTGATCAGATCCAGGAAATTCCAACGGTTCCCTAAAAGTACATAAAAGCAGCTTTCCAACGATCTATAGCATGAAGCAATCAGAGTTAGGGAAAATATCGCTACGAGGAGAAATCCTGCTGTACAGCCTGATTGAAACGGAGCGCAGCGCCGCGGTGAAAGCGGATAACGGGATGGGGAAGCTAATTAGCATAAAAAGCCAGCATGAAATTATGGAAATGCCTCAGAGAAAATCAGCACGATCTGTTAGGTGTCCCAGAAGGCTTATATCTGAAGACAGTGACCATGAAGAAAGACAGATCTCCGGTGAACCAGGATATGAACGTTTGTTCAGTCTTTATATTTTATTTTTTTATTTGAACAATCCTCAACTATTTGCTAATTGTAAGATTCAGCTTCATTCCACCATCATTTATCTTTTTACAATAGATAATTATTTTTGCTAAAACAAAAGTTTTTGGTATAGTAGTGCACGGTGTGCAAGAGAAGCACCCCATGGCAGTGGAGGACTCTGCCTGGAGCTGGAGAGAAACTGCTTCAAGGTCTACCACATCAAATAAAAACGTCTGAAAGTTTACAAAAATAAATGGTCTTAAAAACTGCTAAAAAAGATACCGGTTCAAACTTTTTTAAGAATAGATGCATTACAGTTCAAAGTTTTAATTGTTTGCCCAGTAATTTTGAAGTTCGTGTTCAGTAATAAATGCAAAAAATTCAAATCAATTTTTTGCTTTTTTCACTTTTAAGCTGATTTTTTAAAGGCTGTAATAGAAATAAATTCTAAATAGAAGAAGAAAATATCATTTCTATAGCACCTCAAGATAAAAATCATGAGGCGCTTCACATAAACAAAAAATATATATAAAAAGCATTTAGAAAATGTTTAAAAATATATTTAAAATGAGAAAAAAAATAGGCAATTGTGATTTAAAAGAAAAAATGTTAAGAAAGAAAGAGAGTGAATAGGAAAGAGGGAAATCAGTGGATCCTGAGGAAGGTGGAATAGGTGGGGAGAGCAGAATAAAGAGAGAGTGGTGAAGAAGGTCATACAAAAGCCAGCTTGAACAAGTGAGTCTTCAGCTGCTTTTTAAAGGAGACCACTGAGTCCACTGATCTCAGGCTCAGGGAGAGAGAGTTCCAGAGTCTGGGGGCCACAGCAGCAGATGATCTGTCACCTTTGGTCTTTTTCCTGGTGTGCTGCACAACCAGTAGGCTTTGATCACTGGACCTCAGGGACCTGCTGGGGGTGTAGGGACTAAGAAGATCACCATTGTATGATGGTGCTTGTCCATGTAAGGCCCTATAGACCAGAACCAGGATCTTGAAATGAACCCTGAAGTTGACTGGCAGCCAGTGAAGCTGGAGGAGAAGTGGCTTCACGTTTCTTTTCATGAAATGTTGAAGTGGTTTGGAAATACAAATCATACACTAAAAGCTGAGGTTGTTCTGAAAAAAGGAGAAGAGTTACACACACTTTGCACTTTTTATTACAATTTTACAGCCATAAGATTAAAAAAATACCAGGCGGCCCTGTTATAATTATGGTCATAAGAGGGTTATTAAGACAGCGATTGGAGTCATTCCACTCCAATCCAGTTGGTGGCGGTAATGCACCAAATTGTTGTTTGCCAAGTCCCATAAGACCACAAATAATAAGAAGAGAGGCGGGAGCGTTCGTAACAAACGCAAAGCGATAGTCAAAACATTAAGCATGACATGGAGTTATCCTAGTGGCTCCAAAAAGAGAAAGAAACAACTTGCTTCATAAAAGCTTTTATTTTCACTTCTGAAAGTGACGTCGTTTTTCGATGTAAACATCAAAAGGAAGCAGAAAAGGAAAGACAATGGAAAATGTTTAAAGGGAGGAAAACAGACCAAATGGAAAATAGAAAAAAAATAACTAAGGCTGAAGCACAGGAGCGCTGACAGGAAGAAGAAAGCAGAGCAAATATTGAAGGCACTCAAAGGGAGGGAAGTTCAGGAAAAAAAGAGGAGGACTAATAAAAAGGGAAAATAACTCATGTCAGAAGAGGGGAGTTTCGCAAATCCAGTTAAAGGTAAGATTGTCAAAAATTTAGTGTAAGAGGCCCCATGTCTGTGTTCGCCTTGGGCCCCCAAATTGCTAAATCTGCCCCTGACAGCATGTGTTGCATTTTTCAAACATGAAGTGGGAGTGGAGTTAGACTCTGGTAGGGGTTGACTTGCTCTTTAAGCTGTTTAACTTGGACCAAGCATTTTAGGTCACAGATAGGTGTAGCTTAGGGTCTCTGTCTATACACCTTATAATAATTTAGGTGATGGCATGTTGTTTTTCTGCTATTGAACTGTTTTCTAATAATGTTGTGTTTAATAAAGTGAAGGAAGGAGAGAAATAACGTTTCCCTAGCAGTTTTTAAAAATGTCCCTATGTAATCCGATTAATCGATTAATCGTGTCGAGACCCCATCCGATTCATCGATTATCCAAATAATCGTTTGTTGCAGCCCTATTTGCAGGATTGAAGTTGTGAGAATGGCTCAAAGGAATTCTTTGCAACATCTTCATATTTTTAAATCATTTTCTTGAGCCAGAATGTTCTGAAGCTACCATTTACAGTGTTAATGAAATACTACTCAGACCGCCACCACCCTCTGAGGCCAGAATACCGCACTTCAGAGTAGTGGGTTGGCCCCTGTCTGCTTTCATTACGCCTCCTACATGTTTTAGATCGTGAACACGGCTGATTTTTTTGATTAAGTGATGAATCACTCCTGTAGATCCTAATGAAGGCCGAAGAGACATTTCAGTTGTTAGATTAAGGTGTTAAAAAGACAAACGCACAGTGAGGAGAAGAGTTTCACTTTCGGTTAAACTCTAGGGGATGCTAAAAGCGAGCCAAAACTGTGTTTCCCTTTTAGGTGCAAGACTGGTCAGCCTAGATCAGTGTTTCCCAACCCTGGTCCTCAGGGCCCACTGTCCTGCATGTTTTCCATGTCTCTCCTTCAGCACACCTGATTTACATCGGCTCCTCAGGAGAAAATTAAGTGCTGCAGATGCCTGTTAAGCACTCAGTCATTTAGGTCAGGTGTGTGGTAGCAGGGAAATGCTGGACAGTGTGCTTTGAGGACTAGGGTTGGGAAACACTGGCCTAGAAGGTGCTGTCAGATAAAAAAAGAAAAAAAGGATCGTAGTGTTAAATGATCCACCGCTTAAAGTATGTGCACCTCAAAGCACAATACTCAATTCCACCAGTAGGTGACACTAACACTACGTAGAAATGGGAATATGTCCTGTTTTAGAACATTATAATCACAAAATGATAACAAACACATTTTACTGCAACAGCTGCATGTAGGATTTCAGTTCTATTTATATTAAATCAACAGTGAGTGTGTGAATGAAGGAGTAAGAGAGAGAAAAGGAGGTCCAGTATTTTATAACATGCTAGCTAGCTATTTCCTGTGGCTGGTGCGCTATTAGCCAGCACCACAGAGACGATAAATTCTGTGATGCTGATTGGCCAAAAATTTGTTCGTTCTCCGTAGAGACCGAATGGTCAGGTGTGCTTTTTCCAATGCCTCAGGATGATGGTATTGGTGAGTCTGTCAAGAGAAATTCACTGTTTCACGCATTCACTGCCAGCTGTTTCCTGATCAGAAACGCCCCAGCGTTGTTCAGCATTTTCAGTTTTTTTAAGAGTCACAGAACGTTGCGCGCTAGGTGATGTCAACTCCAAAACTAACAAAACAAAGCGGAGACTCACCTCATACATCAGGAAGAATCCGCGCGTTTCGAGCGTTATCCGTTCTTTCACAATCCATTGTTGAATTGTGATCAGCAGAAGCTTTTCCTGTTCGCACCTCACTTTTTTTACAGCAGCGGCCCAAAATGATCTCCTAACACATGGATTTTCCGCTTCCTGATCACGTGACGTGTGACATATGCGGATGAAGATCGTCTTCAGAGCTGGAGTGTTTGTTCACCCTGTGCGGGGGCTCGTTCCGACGCCCACACAGTAAAAAATGCAAATGACAACTTTAGTCGTCCCAACTGAAGCCTTGTGGTCATCTTTGTTGTTGTGTCATTAAAGGCAGTGACTTTAGTCATCAATGGCAGTGAATGAGTTAATGAGCGACAGCTGGTGAAAATGATTTAGATTGCATGTAATCTTAAATCATTAAATAAAGTGGACACATTTAGAGTGCATATATGATATCTAATGTATAGTTTTTTACTTTTCAGTGTTTATCTCCATTCCCTACAGGGAGGGCGGCACCCTAGCACCACCTATGGATGAGCTGCCACTGGTCACATTTGCTCAGTGGCAGGAGTTGCTCTTTCTCCCTGACTCAGGTGATGTTTTGTTTGCAGGAAGAAGACGGAGCGCAGCAAGAAGTTCTATCTGGACCTTCAGTCCAAAGAGCACGAAAAAACCATGATCAACCCGAAGCCTTGTGGTCATCTTTGTTGTTGTGTCATTAAAGGCTGTGAGCAGGTCAGAAAGTCACGTTGGAACATTATCTGTGTACTGTGTAAAACCGTTCTTGAAGTATTTTAACATTGGAAAAAATAAACAAGCGATGTATACGTTAGTTTCAAATGTCTGAAAACATATTTACAAAAGGTTTGCTCAGTTTAAGCACTATGTTATGTGGTTTTTGTGTTGTGGATTTTCTGTACCACCTATCCGTTAGCTGTTAATATTTAGTAGTAGAGTCCTGTGATAAGAGGGTGGTGGAAAACTTGATTAATCTTTGCACAGCAAATGGAGTTGGTGGTAGAGTTGATTACTTTAACTGTAAAAGTTTTTTTTTTATCAATTCAATTTGTTGGATTAAAAGATAAGTTATTCATGTGTTTTTGAGCACTAACCCTAACCCATTAAAAAATATTTAAAGTGTGACCTAACTCACAATTACTCTAAGAAACACATCGGCATAATGTTTGTATTTTCTAGAAAGGCTAAAATACTAAACTAGCGTCTGGTGGACACAAACCTTTTATTTGATGACTTATGTTAATTTCACATCACCTGTCTCATAATCCACACTCAGCAATACTCACAGGTACATATCTGATAAAATTATCTTCACATTATATTAAAATGGTATTTATTAGACCCTTGATGAATAAAAAATGATAAAAAACAAACATAACCTTGCGTGGCCTTTACTCATATATTTATATTTTTGTTTTTAGGAAGAGGCTGTGAGTTATTACACCAAGCTGGAGGCACAGTTAAAAGACGAGTACAGGAAGGAGAGAGAAAAGGTTAACAAGAAACCTTTGGGCATGGCCTTTGTCACCTTTCAAAACGAGACCATAACGGCCATGTAAGTTTACCCACTCATCAGGAAAAGCAACCGTGTGGCTGTGAGCTTGTCTGTTGCTTTTTGTCAACTGTAATGTCTTTTCTTCATAGAATTTTAAAAGACTTTAACGCTTGCAAGTGTCAAGGCTGTCACTGCCGACGCGAGCCCAAGAGCTCTCCGTTCAGCTCCAGGCTGCATACGCACAACTGGACCGTCGCCTACGCCCCTGATCCACAAAACGTCTACTGGTGAGAACACATTCTCAAAACAAAGGGAGTTTTTGCAGAACGAGATCCGTGCAGACATGGTATAGGTGGAGGAGGAGGAGTTAAACTTCCTCACCCTGGAAGCTTTTTATTTTAGCTCGCCAGCTGTTTCCATAGCAGCAGGCCATCCCACTGTCTCCATCTAACATCTGCATAACCCCTCTGTCCACAGGGAGCATCTTTCAGTGGTAGGAGTCTCGTGGTGGATCCGCTGCTTCATCATCAACTGTGTCCTCTTTCTTCTTCTTTTCTTCCTCACCACCCCGGCCATCATCATCTCCACCATGGACAAGTTCAACGTCACCAAACCAGTGGAGTACCTAAATGTTAGTGCTTTAATCAGTCTTGTGCTTTACTAGTGGTCAGCACTTCCCTCTGTGTTTTTACTTTTGATAAAAAAAAGGGTGGAACATTAATTAGTTGATGGTCAACAAAATGTTTTTCTTACACAAATGCCTTCATGTTCCAGAATCCGATCATTACCCAGTTCTTCCCCACCCTCCTATTGTGGTCCTTCTCCGCCTTACTTCCTACCATTGTCTATTACTCTGCTTTCTTCGAAGCCCACTGGACTCGGTACGGTTAATCACTCCAATCCAATATGAAGTTTTAAGAGCCTTCTGTGTGCTGCTTCATGTTTTATTTATTTCAGTTTGTCTTTTTCATACAGGTCAGGAGAAAACCGAACCACGATGCATAAATGTTACACTTTTTTGATCTTTATGGTCCTGTTGTTACCCTCCTTAGGACTCAGCAGGTCTTGCATGTTTTTTTTTATCTTCTCATGAATACAATAAAGTTTAATAAACACTAATTAGTTTTTGTAAAGGAAATTTAAAAATCACTTCGTATCTCGTCCTACTTTTTGCAGTTTGGACGTTTTCTTCCGGTGGCTGTTTGACAAAAAATTCTTGGCAGATGCAACGTTGAGATTTGAGTAAGTAGTTTAGGTTTATATAGAATTATTCTACATTTTATAGCATAGAATAAAAGTTACAGCTGTTAAATGTGTGTAGAAATACAATTCAAAGATACTTTATTAATTATTACTAATTTTTATAATTATAATTAATTTTCCAACTTTGGCACAAATATGTTAAAGTGTTGCAAGCATGTTTAACGAACTGAAGGTTAATTTACGATGACCCTGTTGTGTTCGTACTTGAACTGTTCCGCTCTGATCAGTACCTACACCGTATGGTAGCCTTTTCTCTAATTGTTTCCACTTTATTTTATTATTTTATCATGATTATATTTTTACTTCCTATATTTGCTTATCTCTTATTTTTATCTTTATTTTTTGCGCCAAGTACCGCAGCAATTTCCTAACGTGATTTCTCACACATATGGCAATAAAACCCGTCTGAAGATGTGGAACTTCTCATTTTAAAAAGACAATTTTAACTGATTGTACAGATCAGACAAATTACTTTTTAAAGGAATATTCTAATCAAAGTGCAGCTTTTATTTATTTATTCCTCAAACATAGCATGAAAGGCCGGTATTGCTAGCACAATAATGGATTACAACTAGCGACTTTCAGCTTTGCCAGAAATGTTTGTTTTACCTTATTTCCTCCTTTGTTTTAAAGGTATTTTCCATTTGATTCAGCTGACATTTGCAAAGCTGAAGTGTCTTTCTGTTTTAAGTCTGTTTTTTCCAGATTTTCGTAGCTGAACAACTAGGACAGTGAGATGGGTCAAATTTCACCAGTGTGTGACGAATTAATAGGACTTTATTACAGTTTTACCAGTTGAACTGTGCTTTCAAAAATGAGTACTTAAAACAAACATAACAAGGTTGCTTGTATCTAATAGATTTGATCTTCTCTATTCTTTACAGCTGTGTTTTCCTCCCAGACAATGGCGCTTTCTTTGTGAACTACGTGATTGCGTCTGCATTCATTGGTAATGCCAACGACCTGCTGAGGATTCCTGGTTTACTGATGTACATGATCCGTCTCTGTTTGGCTCGTTCCGCTGCTGAGCGGAAAAACGTTAAAAAGGTTGGTCTTGAACACAAATGAGGTACTGGTAACACTTTGGGAGTTTACATGGCTGCAACATTTAATCTCTGCTAGTCTTAGTCTACTAAGGACACTGAGTCCTACTGGGCCGTTTTTCGTGCTTCATTTGTCGAGGCGGCTGACCGGAGCTGTGGCTGTAGGGTCGTCGGTGCCTGTCATGGTGGCAACCCCCGAACCTGCTAGTGTACACTGGCGGTTTGGGATGCTGTCAAGCTGAAGAAAGAGTCCTATTGGGTCTTTATAGTCTGTGGGACTCCAGAGGCAGCTGATAGGGACTGACGGTCCAAGCAGAATGCGGCTCGGTGGTCGCTGAGGCTAAAACTCGGGTGTGGGAGGAGTTCGGTGGGACCATGGAGCAAGACTTCCGTATAGCTTCGAGGAAATTCTGGTTACACTATCAGGCGTCTCAGGAAGTCAAAGCAGTGCGCTACCAACACTGGTTACAGTGTCCTGCTGACTTCTACTTGGTACGTTGTTGATCACTGGGCAGAATACTTGGAAGACATCAATCCCACCGGCACATCTTCCAATGAAGACGTGGAGTCTGGAGACTTTGGGTTGGACTCTCAATTCAATTCAAGTTTATTTATATAGCACCAAAAAGAGTCGTCTCAAGGACCTTCACACACTAAACATTCCAATACAGTTCAGTTCATTAAGCCAATCTCTTGGGCTGAAGCCGAAGCTCTTGATTTACCAGTCGATCTATGTTCCAACCCTCACTTATGGTCACAAGCTTCAGGTGGTGACTGAAAGAACGAGATTGCGGATACAAGTGGCCGAAATTAGTTTTATCCACAAGGTGGCTGGGCTCTCCCTTAAAATAGCGTGAGGAGCTCGGTCATCAGGGAGCGGCTTGGAGAAGATCCGCTGCCTCTCCACGTCGAGAGGAGCCAGTTGAGGGGGCTCGGGCATCTAGTCAAATAGAAAATAGATGGGGAAATGCTCGAGTCAGATAAAAAAAACACACAAATCTGTGTCGCACTAAAATAAGCATTCCTGGACTCACCCAGCGTAGCTCGCGACGGGGAAACCTGTTGATTTAACATCCAGGAAAGAGCAAAGTGCATGTTGGCTAGTAGAAACTAACCGTTAGCATTAGCAACTCCACAACATGGCAGAATTCCTTCAGGCTTATTATTTATGAAGATCAGACGGCAACGATGCACAGCAAATGGAGTTGGTGGTAGAGTTGATGGTAGAGGCAAGATGTTTGGATAATGAGTAAAACTCCAAATCCTGCTGTTTTCTGCCCCCCACTTCTTCGGCTAACTACTTCCTGAAACAGGAGCGCCAGAGCTTTTTTCCATCTGAAAACAACTAATAGGGCATATATTAATTCATGCTCGAAACCACATAAAATGTATTGAAATAAAGGGCATATGCTCAGTTTACCAGCCAAAGGCATAAACACGTAACTAATGAAAGCAGGAGAGCTGTGTAACATTTCCATGTTGATACTTGTTCTGCTACCTCCTACAATTATCAAAAAAATAAGTGTAATAAAATATTATTTTGTGTCTCCTAAGCATCAAGCCTATGAGTTCCAGTTTGGAGCAGCTTATGCCTGGATGATGTGTGTCTTCACTGTGGTTATGACCTACAGCATTACTTGTCCCATCATCGTCCCTTTCGGTGAGTGTTGCCTTTTAATGCTAGGTCAGCCTCTTTCACATCAAGATAGAGTGCAGATTAAACAGTGGCAGGACTGTCATGGCGAGGACGAGCAACATGCGGTGGTTCTGTTCTTTATCCAGAAGCTTATCAACGCCACTAATTGGGTTAGTGATCCTGATCTTTCTTCCCTGTTCAGGCCTGATGTATATGCTACTCAAGCACCTAGCAGACAGATACAACATGTACTACGCCTATCTGCCGTCCAAACTGGATAAGAAAATCCATGTTGGAGCTGTCAACCAAGTGGTGGCCGCTCCTATTCTGTGTCTGTTTTGGCTTCTTTTCTTTTCAACACTTCGTTCTGGTAAGGAAACAGCTCCACCTGCTGGACATGCTGTTGTAGTTGACATGCCCCAACAAATGTATACACCTTTTTTTGTTTTGTTCTTTGAAAAAGGAATAATGAAGTTTTTTGTTTCTTGTAGGCATTTCTGGTGCAACATCCGTGTTTACCTTTGTGGTTTTGATCATCACCATCATCATTTGCCTCTCTCATGTCTGCTTTGGACATTTTAAGTATTTAAGTGCCCACAACTACAAGGTTACAACTTTTTAAACAGCAACACCTTCCTGAAGTTACCTTTAGACCAGAAATACATGCAGCTGCTTATGTTGATTGTCTTGTTTTCTACACCAGATCGACACTCAGGATGTGGATGGGATGGAGAGTGGACCCTCTGCATGCTCTTTAGCTGCCAGCAAAGTAACTGTATGTAATTCATCATTGAATGAAAAGAGGAAAAAACATTGTGCAAAACATAGTTAAACACCAAAAAGTGTCGACAGGAATATCAAAAGTTTCATTCTGTCTAACTACAGCAATTTAATGAGAGGACCATGGAGAGCTGAAGCGTGATGCAAGATGTTTTTAGTGACCAGAAGAAGTGCTGTTTTTTACAGCGCTCTGAGACAACAAAACCTTGTGAATTACGTTGTTGTGGGGGGGATTTCCGCCAGGTTTTTGGTGGGAGTTTAGTAGCTGATATTAAACCAGCACAAGCAGGTTAGAAGATATTAGTGTCTTCTAATTTTACTATTGCTGGTTGTTTTGTACGATGTCTGTTGATGTAATTTCCTACTCGGTCACAATCGGCACGAGTTAAACCAAAAGTTCTGCTCAGCTACTCTACCGGGCCTCTCCCGAGTACCTACCCCTGTTATGGTACTCCGTTGGTTCCTGGAAATGTCCCGGAAAATGGCCATTCTGCCAGGCCAGTAGAGTGGAGACACGTGCATGCCGGGAAGTTTCGGTAAAATTACCCTAAAGTTCCGGTAGTAGAAACACAGCTATGGACGTATCCATCTTTGCTCACGACCAGGAAAGGCTGTTGTTAGACCAGGAGAAATCAGAGCATGTCTCAGCTAAAAGAAGCTAACCGTTAGCATTAGCAATTCCCCAAAATGTCAGAACTCTTTCAGGCTTTTATCCGTGGAGATGAAACATCAAAATTGCAGTGTGAACAGAGGCAGTGGAAGAGTAGGGTTAGCCAATCAGAGGTTAAATGTTTGCTTATTAAATACTAATGAGTAAGATTTGTAAGTTTAACGATTTTCGTCCCCCGCACCCTCCTCTGGCTAAATTATACTTCCTGAAACAGGAGTGCCAGAGCTATTTTTCCACAGAGAACCACTCGCAAGGCATTCATTTCTACACAAAATGTATAGAAAAAACAAGTGTAGGCCTGCTTTCATGTTGAAAATAATATTTTAGGAACCGTTTTTGGTAAAGAACTTGTTCCAAACTTATCTTCTGACCTTTTTTATTCTCTCCTACAGCAAATGTACATCGCCCAAGTACTTCAGGACCCAAATTCGGAGGAGGCTGGCTCAGGCAGCGGTGAGGACGATGGCCAGGGGTCATCGCAGGACGAGGAAATAATCAATGTTGAGAACGGCATGAACTTCCAGTCTGGTGAGGACAGCCTCATCGATAATGAGGTGCGACACTGAGACTACCTGGGACAGGAAGACAAGTTAACTCGATGAATGCACTGATTGTGCAAAATTAACGTGGAACTGAACCAACGGTCCACCAAAGCATCTCAACCTCTAAGGGACCTCACCCTAACTAACATAAGCACACGGTCTACTAAGGATTAAAAGGATTTTCTCTTAAGGACGTCATCTTCATAGTTTTTCATCAAGCAGCAGATGTGGAGCAGGGAGAAACTACTGGCTGTACACTGATGAAAAACACCCCAAATACTGCACATAGACCAATGCAAGCAGACGCCATTGCACAAACGAAGATGGCTGTTGTTGCCCTTTCTGTGAGAGGAGAGAAGTTCTCTGTTTCCTTAACTTCATTGCACTTGAATGAAAGAATCAGTAAGCTTGAGTTTTACTACGGTACGGCAGTATGGCGAACAGAATCAAAAGATGGAGAAATTCTTCCCATAATGCTTTGCTAGCATCTCTGTCTGCAATGGGTGCTTCCCTTGAACAAGAAGCTTATAGAAAATGAGAGCAAGAGATTGTATGTCCGTTGATAGCTTAGTTAGTGCAGATGCAATGTTCTTCAATGGTTCTTCCAATTTACAAACCTTTAACTAGAAAAAAAACTTTTGCTACTAACACTCCTGAGAGCTTCGACTCTGAACATGTAAAACTAGATTTGTGTAATAACCTGTTCTGACCTGGTATTTATTTGTAGGCATGAGCTTTTTTTATTTTATTTTAATCATCCAGTTTAATTGACCCCCTAACTTTATATAATTATGTCACACTACAGCGATCTTACCCGGTCTCTGAGCCTTGGTTGGGACCACTGCTACTGATGTTGCCCCCAGAAGGGGAACATCCTTGCACCGGTGCCGCCGGATGACTGGAGGCGGAAGGTGTGGATCCTTCTGCATTCCTCAGAGGGAGAGAAAGATCTTTTTGTTTTGTTCTCCTGGGTCAATTTCAGACAACATTATAACTAGTTAATTTTTTTGTTTTCATACATATCTTCTCACTAATGTTTACATCTTACAGTGATTTTGACACAAATATTAGGTGACCGCTTTTAATTTTATCGTTTTAAATCACATCAACCCCACTTTAGGGCTAACATGTACTTTTATTCACACCCTTCATTTTGTATTCAGGATGCTTTGTTACAAGTTCCTTTTCTTCAGTACTTTAATCACAGAGTATAGATTGTTTAACTCAAATTGAGTGTTTTTTGCGATAATGTGTCAAATCTTGGCTGCATAAGAAAGTTTAGCACTTACATTTGATGACTAATGAAGACGTACAGCAACTATTTGTCCTGGTGTCCAATAGTCCCTTTGATTAAGATTGTAGAAACCAGTGAAGGAAAATGTAGCCAATTTGCTGTGTCTCGAGTCATCAAATCTTATTAATCCCGAGTGCAGATCCAGTGCTGGAAGGCACGTTTGATTGTAAAGCACGCAGGCTCAAAGTTTTAACATTTTGCCGAGCTGCCTTCTTCATACAAAACACGTTTTTTTGTTTTAAATCTGACCAAATAACCAACTTTAATGTGAATCATTATGCCCACACGTATCATTTTGCTCAGGATCTCTAACTTCTTGTTGCTTTAATTTTATTCGTCTCAGTGAAAACACTACGAGTTGATGGATCAGTGGGGGAATTCATCAAAACACGTATTTAATCATTTCAGGAAATAGTTGACTAAATGAGCCATCACATATGATCGACTGGAGGGCATCACCCTCAGTGTGAGCAGAAAAGGAAAAAGCAAAACGTTTTCCGACACTCTGTAAGCACCACGAGTTTATCACCTTCAATAGTATTGATTGACACCACTCTGGGTGATGCTCCTCTGGTCATGATTAAGTGACTTTAGTCCTAATGATTTGTACCTGCTTTTGAGATGTCTGTAAACCTGTGAATGTTACCTGTGAAACTAACAAAACACTATTCATCCTCCACGGAGATGTTCGAACTCTCAGCCTGTCTAACAGCTCCTGCTTTTACGCACTGATTGTACGTTTATACCACAAGCTTTCCTTAGATGAACGTGGCCTATAAGTCTTAGTGTCACTGCTGTATTTCAACAGCTTAGAGTGAAAAACATGAAAAATGGCTCTCGCTAATCAGGAATTGAACATTTATACTGTATCATGTAAGTCATTGGTGTCCAGTCTAACGTCTCGTCATTTCATTTTATTAGATTTGTGTTTGTCAGTGGTTTTCGATTTTTTTTAGGAGAATTCCAAGTTTTTAATTTTGTGTTCTGTTGTTATTCATTAGTTCTGTGTAGCTAGCCGGAGTAACTGGAAACAAATGCAATGTTTTTTTTGTTGTAAACAATGAAGCTAACATGTTTTTGTTTTGTGTCTACCATGAATTCACAAAAGGTAGTAAAAATGTCTAAAAGAAAAGCACAGTTTGTATGTGTTTTATGTGCTTTGGCTTTTTATTATGGTGATTCTTCTTGCTGAAGTAAGACTCGCACATTTTAGCATTTTCCCTCATTTTATCAATCTCTCCCAGGAGCTGCCTGCTGACCAGATATACAGTACATTGCAAAAGCTTAGAAACTCTTTAATTTTTTTGTTTTGACCCAAATTTTCTCAGAAGTGTTTCAAAGTGATCTTGATCTGTAATATCTGTCATGTGGAGGTCGCTCAGTTTTGATTTTTAGTCATTGTAACTCACAATGATGCTACCTGTGATCTCTGTGCTTGTCTAACAGGGATGTTCTTAAAGAGCAAGTCACCCCAAATCAACTTTTTTTTTTTTGCTGATAAACTATATAAATGTGTGTCTAATTGTGCTGCAGACACGTGTGGTCAATAATTTGGCATTTCAGTGCATCTTAGTTAAAATTTAAACATTCTGCCTAAAATTGTCATTGTTGCGCCGTCGGCAGGTAAAAACTCTGCACTGTATTTGAATTTAAATCTGCCACCGCAATTGGCTAAGAGGTATGCTATGATGTAAACTGGTCCTTATGATGTCACAATGCTGTCGTGAGCCTGTGTGTGTGTGTGTATTTGTTAGCGGCTCTGCCCTCTCGGTCTGCTAGGCAACAGCATTTGTTGCATTTTTCAAACATGAAGAGGGAGTGAAGTAAGTTTCTTGTAGGGGGTGACTTGCTCTTTAAGAAAGTCCATCAAAATTCTGCTACGAAACCTGACTTTTTTTTGTTTTTTGGTTTACAACCTGCTCAGGTTGAATTTTCATTGGGAGTCACTTTGTGTTAAAATATAAATTGTGTAAACTTTTGTATTTCATATTTGTTTAAACAAATTAGGCTGAACTGGCTTTGTGACAGACAACAGAAAATAGCGTTTTTGTGTTGTCACGCCCACCTACTTCCGCCCTATGGGACGCCGGAAGCGTCTTTTGGAATTCTAGGGTGACCAAGGAAGGTCCCGCCTTTCTCGTCTCTGATTGGCTAGATGGGCTCTACTACGATTGGCTGAAAATTCGCGGGGGCGGCAGACAACAGCGGCCTTCGCTCGCTTGCCTGCAAGCAAAGCGACTGATGTGGATATCTGAGCAGGGGTAAATATGTCTTTGTGAGAAAGCTAACATTAGCTTTTCAAATGTCACGTTAAAATAATAGGCATGCCCTCAAATGTTGCATAGCTGCCAGTTCAATATACTTGTTCACACACACACACACACACACACACACACACACACACACACACACACACACACACACACACACACACACACACACACACACACACACACACACACACACTCTCACACACACACACACACATTCTGTACTTGGTCAATAAAATCTGTGATGTAATCGGTGTGGTGTATTTTCATGATCATGCCTTTTGATAAAAATCTAGAAATACTTTAATAGGCTGAGGCTGTAAAGCAAGCAGGATAAAAATGAGGACACATCTTTCATCAGTTTAAATCTGTATCTTTAATTGAAATTAATTCAAAGTTGATTATGATGTAGACCTATTTTTCGGCCGTTTTCATTATTCTAGAAGAGAAACAGACCTGCTGCACACAGCTGGGTAAAATAGGGCAGTTTTATTATATTTCATACCCAGGTAAGGCACACACGTTTATTCTATGTACTCTGCTATAATAAGATAACCTCAATGCTTAGAGCCATAGATAATAAGATAACCTCAATGCTTAGAGCCATAGAAGTCCCACCGTGTGAGAAATGCAACAAAATTTATAAGTTCACTTCTTACGTTTTTCAGTTTTTAATCAATGAAACTAAAAAACTTTTGCAAAACGGGACAGAATTGCGCTAAGTTCTTATTTTCTAAAAAAAAAATGTATAAAAACATTCACCAAAACAGCTGTTCTGTTGGTGGCAAGAGGGCAGTCTGCACGATAGTCTGCAATTAGCAAGGGAAGACGGTTTGCTGCTATATGAAATAGCCAATCGTAGTAGAGCCCATCTAGCCAATCAGAGGCGAGAAAGGCGGGACCTTCCGGAGGCGTCATCGAAAAAATGAATGCAAAACGCTAAAAACGCTATTTTCTAATTCCGCTTGTTTTGTGCCATGGATTTCACACATGATGTCCGTGAATTTTAAAGACACATTTTGAAACCAAGAACGCGCTTATTTTCGAACAGGGCGAAACACTATTTTAGGTTTTGTGTGAAAATAAGTCCAGGACTACAAATGCGCTTCACGAACGTGACGTCATCAAACCAGACACGGAGAAAACTGATGGAAAATGGATAGAATTTCAGCAAACTTTCCACAGAAGGAAAGAACCAACATAAATCTGGTCATTTGGTAAGTAGCAGTTTTCTTTGGGGAGAGGAGATTATGTGGTAACGTCACATAAGCGACGTGCCAATTTCTGGTGTGTAGTTATGCTAATTACGAACTGTTACAAGCTAATAAATCTCAAAGTACGTGACTGGCATGGTAAACACCCATCATTACCTTTCATTTAAATTGCAGTACAACATATGTGCGATCCAGGGCGTAAGGCAAAGCGGATTTGAATATAGAGTTTTTAGCTCTGTTGATTTACATTCTTTTTTTTTTCGTTCTTCCTCGGACCCATGGTGCGGAAGTAGATTTAGGCTCCCTATATGGTGCTAATCACAGACATATATATTGATCTATCTATGTCTATGGCGCTAATCAAATCAAACTGGTTATGGAGGGGAGGAGACAGGGAGGGAGGGGTGCAGTCCTGCTGCTGCTGGCGGGGAGAAGTCCCGAGTCTCGTCATAGTCCTGTTGTTGCCGGACGAGGGACTCTCGGAGGGAGATGTAGGTGCAACGTGGAACGGCAGAGCGACGCTCACAACTCTCAGTAAACAAATGAAATCCAACGATACGAGCAGACTCCACAGCTTTCTCTAGGATCTGATACCGAGATGGAACGCAGCAAACGGGGTTAAAAGCCCTTTAAGAGTCCTCGCCATGGACGGAGAGCTGACCGTTACTTTAATATCTGTGGCGATGTTTGTTGGCACGTTTTTACTCGGATTCATCCCACTGTTGTTCAGACTCTCTGAGGTAAGAGGCTTGGTTTGAAACGTCCTCATGAAAGAATGAGTGGTGTAATCACAACATGTGACTAGTAGCCCTAGCTCAAAGTTCAACTGCAGCACAGGACATGTTTTATTAGCTCTTATGAAGGATTCTTCCTTTGGTGTTGCTACATTTTAACACAATTGCTCACATTTCTAATCAAATGTGGATCTCACAGAAAAGCCTCCAGTTTGTCTCCATTCTGGGAGCAGGTCTGCTCTGTGGGACAGCTCTTTCCATCACCATCCCTGAAGGTGTGGGTTTACTGGAGGATTCATGGAGAGGTGAGTTGGTTGGGCTTTGTCCGTTGCCTTGACAACAGATGGGAACACAAACCCCTTTATTCATCAAATGAACATAGAGTGTTTGTAAGCCTTTGAAATTAGTGATGGTGTGATGATCAAAGCAGGGTTACCTGTCTGAATGTGAATGAGAATGCCCTTCGTCTTCCCGCCAGCATCCCCGTCCTCTGATGTGCCGTCTGGTTTGAATGCCAGTGGTAAAACTGTGTCTGCCTCCGAGGAAGGCCCACCGCCTCGATTCTACATTGGGATAGCCTTGACATTCGGGTTCACCTTTATGTTTGCTGTGGATCAGATTGGCGATTTCCTCTCCATGCGAGGTGAGCTGACAGAAACTCCCCCGTAATTCTTTATTTTATGTAGATCACCTAAACTTGTCAAATCTTTGATTTCAGCGCAAACGACACACGTGTCTAACAGCCACATCACTGCCACTTTAGGGCTGGTTATTCATGCTGCAGGTAATACAAACATCCATGGCTCATTTCTCCTGGCTTTTAAGTGCTTCAGACTCATAAAGGAGCCCCCCCCCCCCCCCCCAAAGAAAACAACAAAGCTCAGTAGTTTAAGCCCTCATGTGACTTAGCATGTGATTTACTCTTTGCTGCTGGAGCTAGATGTTTCAAATTAATTTATCTCGTAAACTTTATCAACAGTAGAACTAGTTTGGGTAAAATCTCCTAAAATTGTAATGATTTATTTTTAAATGAAATGCTGATGAGGGAAATCATGATTTCTTTTTGCACACAGCTGATGGATTTGCTCTGGGAGCTGCAGTTGCCACTGGTCAAGTAACAGTACAAGTCATAGTATTTTTTGCCGTCATTCTACACAAGGTGAGTGGACTTTGCTTTAAATGATTGCTGGATGGATGTCAAAGCCGATGATGATGCCTTCCCCGTCCTTGTGATCTTCCAGGCGCCAGCAGCTTTTGGTTTGGTCTCCTTCCTGATGCACGGAGGCCTTGAGAAGAAGCACATCCAGGGACATTTGCTGGCCTTTTCAGCCGCGGCGCCGATAGTCGCAATCAGCACTTACTTCATTTTACACGCAGTAAGAGCACATGTGAATATTAAAGTTCAAGATTTTGCTTGATTCTTATCTTTATTTGTTTTCTGTTCACAGTCTGGAAACTCCTCACAGAGCCAGCTTTGGGCAACAGGTGTGGGTATGCTCTTCTCAGCTGGGACTTTCCTCTATGTGGCCACGGTGCATGTTCTCCCTGAGATCAGAAGCAGCAGGACAGAAGATCCCTTCTCTAATCTCCAGGAGCATGCTGAAGCCAAGAACCATCAGCAGCGGCACCTGGGGCTCCTGGAGAGCCTCACTCTGGTCCTCGGCATGGGGCTTCCAGTGGTGTTGGCCCTCGGGTTACAGGATGATTAAAAAAAAAAGCCTGCAAGTTTGGTCACAAACTCTTATAATCGATGTACTGCGATGGCACATTTAAAAGACCAACAGTATATTAGACACATAGCTTTGAGTCTAGCCAATGCTCTTACGTCAACCGAGACTTCCTGTTTGTGTGAAGTGTTGGGTAGCTCATATATTGTTCTCATTTCATGGAGTTTTCTTTCCAAGTTGAAAAAAGTCACATCTGTTTTCAAGGTCCTCCGGGGAGCTGTGATGTGAAATCCCAGTTACACGATAGACTTCAGTGGAAGAGCAGCAGGATAATCTGACACTGCTGAGGACGGTTAGGAAGGCTAAGTGGATCAGCTGGAATATTTTGTATGCGTAACCAAAGAAAGGACCATGAATTTTAGTTGTGCATCTAAAAACTAAAAGATAATGGAGTCCGAAGGTGAGTTTTGACTAAACATATGACAAAGTGGCTGCATGGTGACGCAGTTGTTAGCGCTGTTGCCTCGCAGCACGAAGGTTGCAGGTTCAAAAATCTGCTGCGGCCTTTCTGCGTGGAGTTGCGTGTTCTCATGCATGTGTGGGTTTCCTCCGGGTACTCCGGTTTCCCCCACAGATCACAACATGCCCTATAGGTTATAAACTGTAAGTCGCTTTGGATAAAAGCGTCTGCCAAATAAATAAACATAAACAAAGTGAGCCGGTGTTTATGGTGTTAATACCTGCAGGATAAGAGCGTATCCAAAATGTTTACAGTTCTTACACAATATCAGACAAAACAACTAAGTAACACAAAGTTTTAAATTCTACTGTTTCATTTTAGATCATAGGTATGTAGAGGGTTAAAGGTGCAGTATGTAGGAATACAGTGAGAGTTTTACAGTGAGAAAATCCCAGAAGAGTCTAATGTGTCTTCCACATGAAGACTGGTGTTTTAAAACCACTCCCGTTTTCTTTTTGATGTTTGTCAAAATTATATGTGTGGAACGATTTTTCTTGCTGGGCTCTGCTCAGCTCATTATTGACACCCTGGTGTACTATGGGTGGATGTGATTTTCATACACACACGCACGCTCCGCACTTATTCAGTGCATTCAGGGTCAGGCAGACCTGTAGCCCCCCACCCCCTCCCCTGTTGGAAGGGTCGCTTTGACACCTTGGAGACTGCAGGAGGGTTGATTGGCTACAGTTGAAAGTTTTAGTACCAGCTTTGGCCACTGGAGAGCAGCAACTCCCCTTCTTCCATTCTCTAAATTTTGTTGGAAATCAGGGTGTTATTCTTTTTCTTGCCAGCAGAGGGCGCAAATCCCCATTATTTCAATAAAACGATACATATAGAGCAAGTGTTTATACTAATTAAGTATTGTATAAGTCTTTAGACAAGGAGCAAACAGTAAAGAAGAACTGCAATTGTCTTCTCTTACTGGTTACTTCACATAAACACTAACCGTAAAAATTAATAGATACGTAAATGAATCTCAAATTTCAGTGAAGCTAGGATTTAATTTAAGTGTGCTTCACACCCAGAATCAGGCTAAAACATCTATAAGGAGGTCAAATATTGTCCTTTAATTGGCTAACGTTGAAAAATTTAATACTAATTCCATCTTTTAGTTCTTTTTAAAACACAGAAAGGTTTTATTTACCTGCAACGTTTCGTTTACGGCTGCAAACTTCGTCAGGCTGACGCTAATGGTGGCGTCACTTCGTTCTCCATTTATCCAAGGGCAGCAGAGGACATTGTCGCCCTCTGCTGCCCGCTCTCTCCTCTCCAATGATGCAGTCCCATGCGCGATCCAACTGCGTGACTCGTTGTCAGTTCTCTATGGTAATAATAATATGCTAACGTTGCAGTTCAGTTCTTCTTT